GGGGCTCGATCCCTCAACCGTTGTTACAGGATTTCTTTTCCTTTAACGCCTGTGGTTCTTGGTCACGCCACTTCGAAGAATGAAGAGGTAGACCAGTCAAAGAGTGGTGGGCAGCAAAGCAAAGTTTATGGAGTGATAGTCAGTCTTTTGAGCGATAGTACAAAGCTCCTGAAGAGGGAGGGGACCGGAGAGGGTTGCCGATTCGGCATTTAGATCTAGGGGTTTTTATAGGCTTGTTGTCGGGTTCTTTTAATTTGATTAACCCTCCATGCGCCTGTTATCCAATCAGGTGTTTGCCATCTACCTATCACGTGGGAAAGGGTGGAGGGCTCCTTCCAGAGTGGTGTAAAATCCTTTTAAGGGTAGTTTCCTCTTAGGGCGGGGGGGCCCCCGTCCCTGCCTGCCTTTCTTCCAACTATCCTTCATCACTGAGAGATCAGCAGCGGAGCTGAAATCAAGAGTCTAATGGTTGGGGCACCTGGGTGGCTCAGTTGGTTAAACGGCTGTCTTCGGCTCAGGTCATGATCCCAGAGTCTAGGGATCGAGCCCTGTGTCTGGCTCCCTGCTCAGCGAGGAGCTTACTTCTCCCTCTCCCTCTACTGCTCCCCCTGCTTGTGCTCTCTCTGTGTCTGTCTCTGTCAAATAAAAAAATTAAATCTATAAAAAAATTTTTTAAAAAGAGCCTGGTGCTCAACCAACTGAGCCACCTAGGCACCTCTGGAAAGCTTACCATCTTAACTGCCTTGACCCAAACGTACACTGTAGCTGGCAGTGGCCCTCCTGAGATGTGCAGCCCCAGGTGAAATGCATGATGCCCCCAGTGAAATAGAGTGGAACCACAATGACCTAGTGGTGCTTTTACTGTAATTAGGCAGCTTTTGCTCCCATTCCCCATAGATGCTGTTTCAAACCTCTCACCTCTCTTCTCAGGTTGCTGCTCCATCTCTGTTCCCCCCCTTTCTGAAGATGTTCTTGCCTCTCCTTCAAAAAGAAAATTGAGGGGCGCCTGGGTGACTCAGTCATTAAGCATCTGCCTTATGCTCAGGTCATGATCCCAGGGTCCTGGGATCGAGCCCCATGTTGGGCTCCCCGCTTGGCAGGGAGCCTGCTTCTCCCTCTATCTGCCGCTCCCTCTGCTTGTGTTCGCACTCTCTGTCAAATAAATAAATAAAATCTTAAAAAAAAAAGAAAGAAAATTGAAGCTAAATACCAGCTCCTCTACTTCAAAATTTAGTTATATTTGTGCTCAGCCTCTCCTGTCTCTCTCCTTGTGAAAAGCTAATCCTGCTACCTGCGCTCAGAGTCCTGTATCCTCCCATCTCTACAGGGTCCTGGCTAGGCCAAAATTATTCCTTCTTTTTCCTATCTCTTCAACCTTTCTATCTCCTTCACAGATTCTTGCCCTCAGCTAGTAAACAAGCTTTAGTACCTACTTTTTAAAAAAACATATGTGTGAATTTCCCTTCTGTTTTTGTAGGCCTGTATCTCCCACCACCCTTCACCCATTTTGCCCAACCCCCCCCAACCATCATGGTATCTACTGTCTTTCTTTTTTCTTTTTTTTTTTTTTAAAGATTTTATTTATTTATTTGAGAGAGAGAGAATGAGAGACAGAGAGCATGAGAAGGAGGAGGGTCAGAGCGAGAAGCAGGCTCCCCGCCGAGCAGGGAGCCCGATGCGGGACTCGATCCAGGGACTCCAGGATCATGACCCGAGCCGAAGGCAGTCGCTTAACCAACTGAGCCACCCAGGCGCCCCTCTACTGTCTTTCTTATGAGGAAGAAATATACTTCATTAATTCTACATCCAGCTTTAGTTAAATTAATTTTCTTCCTTTTTTAATAGATAAACTTCATTTAAAATTTTGTATTATTTCCTTTTTGGTTCAAAATTCCAAAGTTATAAAAGGGCATACCAGGAAAAATTTCTCACCCATTCCTATCCCAGTGGCATCAGGGTTTTGAGTTTCTTGTTGATCCTTTTGCAGCCCAGCCCTAATGCCTAAGGCATCCATTGTATGTAATGAATAAACTTGTCACCCCTGCGTCTAGAATGGCATTAGTTTTTTGCAGTTCTTGGGAGAATTGAGAGAATAGTCACACAAATAATTTTCTATAGGGCTTTATTCTGTGAACCCTGGTTGAGAAAGCTATAAACTGTGTATGTAAGCAATTGAGGATATATATGTCATTTTTCCTCTTTTTAAGAGAACTGATGCAAAAATAAAAGAGAACTGATGCAATCTCACTGAATCTTTATTCACTTAATATGTATTGGAGATCGATCTATCTCTCTTTTTTTCTATCATCTATGAGATATATATATATAGAGAGAGAGATAACTCTATTTATATATACCTAAAGAGGTCCCTCATTAAAAATTTTCACCTGGGGCGCCTGGGTGGCTCAGAAGATTAAGCGTCTGCCTTGGGCTAGGTCATGATCCCAGGGTCCTGGAATTGAGTCCCGCATTGGGCTCCCTGCTGAACCGGGAGCCTGCTTGTCCCTCTACCTCTGCCTGCCGCTACCCCTGCTTGTACTCTCTCTCTCCCGTCAAATAAATAAAATCTTAAAAAAAAAAAATTCACGGGGCGCCTGGGTGGCTCAGTCATTAGGCATCTGCCTTTGGCTCAGGTCATGATCCCAGGGTCCTGGGATCGAGCTCCGCATTGGGCTCCCTGCTCCGGGGGAGCCTGCTTGTCCCTCTCCCACTCCCCCTGCTTGTGTTCCCTCTCTCACTGTGTCTCTCTCTGTCAAATAAATAAATAAAATCTTCAAAAAATAAAAATAAAAAAAAATTCACCTTTTTTTTTTTTTTTAAGATTTTATTTATTTATTTGACAGAGAGAGAGACAGTGAGAGAGGGAACACAAGCAGGGGGAGTGGGAGAGGGAGAAGCAGACGTCCTGCTGAACAGGGAGCCCATCACGGGGCTCGATCCCAGGACCCTGGGACCATGACCTGAGCCGAAGGCAGACGCTTAACAACTGAGCCACCCAAGTGCCCCACTCTTTTTTTTTTTTTTAGAGAGAGAGAAAATGCAAGCATTTGCTTATACGCATGAGCTGGGGGAGGGCAGAGGGAGAGGGAATCTCAAGCAGACTCCACCCTAGGTGCGGAGCCCAACTAGGGGCTCAATTTGACAACCCTGAGATCACGACTCAAGCCAAAATCAAGAGTTGGACGCCCAACTGACTGAGCCACCCAGGTGCCCCCACCTCTATTTTTAAAAAAGCTTTATTGAGATGTAATTTGCATGCCATACAACTTGCCTACAAATAAATGGTTTAGTTTAGTTGTAAACCATCACAACGACCAATTTTAGAACATTTTTATTACCTCAGAAAGAAGCCCTATACCCATTAGCAGTCATTCTTCATTTTCTTTCAACCCTCCCAGCCCCTGACAGCCACTAATCCACTTTCTGTATCTATAGATGTGCCTATTCAGGATATTTCATATAAATGGAATCGTATGATATGTGGTCTTTTATGACTGGCTCCTTTTACTCAGCACACAGTTTTCAAGGTTCGTGTTATATTATGGCATGTATTAGTACTTCATTTCTTTATATTGATGAATAATATTTGATTGCGTGAACATACCACATTTTATTTATCCATTCGTCAATTGATGGACATTAGGGTTGGTTCTGTTTTTTGGCTGTTATTAATAATGCTGCTATCAATATTTGTGTATGTTTTCATTTCTCTTGGGCGTATATCTAGCTATAGATTTGCTGGATCATCTAGTGATTCTGAGTTTAACCTTTGGAAGAACTGCCATACTATTTCCCACAAAGGCTACAGCATTTTACATTCCCACCAGCAGTATATGAGGGTTCCAATTACTCCTCATCTTCACCAATGCCTGTTATTATCTGTGGTTTATTTTCTTTAAAGATTTTATTTTTAGGGACACCTGCGTTGCTCAGTTAGTTAAGCACCTGACTTCAGTTCAGGTCATGATCTCAGGGTCCTAGGATTGAGCTCTGTGTCAGGCTCCATGCTCAGCAAGGAGTCTGCTTCTCCCTCTCCTTCTGCACCTCCCCCTGCTAGTGCTCTCTCTCTCAAGTAAATAAATAAAATCTTTAAAAAAAAGGTTTGGGGCGCCTGGGTGGCTCAGTTGGTTAAGCGACTGCCTTCGGCTCAGGTCGTGATCCTGGAGTCCCGGGATCGAGTCCCGCATCGGGCTCCCTGCTCGGCAGGGAGTCTGCTTCTCCCTCTGACCCTCCCCCCTCTCATGCTCTATCTCATTCTCTCTCTCTCAAATAAATAAATAAAATCTTTAAAAAAAAAAAAAAAAAAAAAGGTTTGATTTTTAGGTAATCTCTGTATCCAACACGGGGCACAAACTCATAACCCTGAAATCAAGAGCTGCATGCTCTACTGACTGAGCCAGCCAGGCACCCATATTATCTGTCTTTTTGATCATTGCCATCCTAGTGGGTATGAAGTGGTATCTTATTCTGGTTTTGATTTACATTTTCCTGATGGCTAGTGATATTGAACATCTTTTCATGTTCTTTTTGGCCATTTGCATATCTTCACTAGAGAAATGTTTATTCAGATTCTTTGCACATTTTTTTTAAAGATTTTATTTATTTATTTGAGAGAGAGAGAATGAGAGACAGAGAGCACGAGAGGGAAGAGGGCAGAGGGAGAAGCAGACCCCCCGCTGAGCAGGGAGCCCGATGCGGGACTCGATCCCAGGACTCCAGGATCATGACCTGAGCCGAAGGCAGTCACTTAACCAACTGAGCCACCCAGGCGCCCTCTTTGCACATTTTTAAATTGGATTGTCGTACTTTTTTATTGTGGTAAAATATACTAAACAAAGTTTACCATTTTAACCATTTTTAAGTGTACATTTCTGTGGCATTAAGTATATTCATATTGTTGTGCAACCATCACCACCATCTTTTTCCAGAACTTTTTCATCTTCCCCAACTGAAACTCTATACCCACTAAATACTAATTCTGTCTTCTCCTCTCTCCCCAGTCTCTGGCAACCACCATTCTATGTTGTCTCAATGCATTTGACTACTCTAGAAACCTCATGTAAGTGGAATCTTAAAATATTTGTCCTTTTGTGACTTATTTCCTATAGTATAATGACTTCAAGATTCATCTATGTTGTAGCATATGTCAATATGACCTTCCTTTTTAAAGCTGAATAATATTCCATTGTATGTGTATACCACATTTTGTTTATTCATTTGTTTCTTTGTTGATGGACACGTGAGTTACTTTACCTTTTATTTATTGTGAATAATACTGCTATGAACATGGGTGTACAAATAACTGTTCAAGTCCTTGCTTTCACTTCTTCGGGGTATATACTCAGAAGTAGAATTGCTGGATCATTTAGTGATTCTATGCTTAATTTTTTAGGAATCACCATACTGTTTTCTACAGTGACTGAATCATTTTATATTCCCACCAGCAATTCACAAGGGTTCCAGTTTCTCCATATTATTGTCAACACTTGTTATTTTCTGGGTTTTTTTCTTTTAATAATAGTCATCCTAGTGGATGTGAAGTTGTTATCTTGTTATTACTAGATTGTAAGAGTTCTTTATATATTCTAGATACAAACCTTTTATCAGATAAATGATTTACAAATATTTTCTCCTATTCTTTTCACTTTCTTGATGGTGTCATTTGAAGAACAAAAGTTAATTTTGATGGAGTTTGATTCATCTGTTTTTAATTCTGTTGCTCATGCTCTTGGTGTCATATCTAAGGATCCATTGCCAAATCCAAGGTCATGAAAATTTACACCTGTTTTATAGTAAGAATTTTATATTTTATTTTTTTACACTTTTTAAAAGTAAATTCTACCCTCAATATGGGGCTTGTACTCACTACCCTGAGATTAAGAGTCACATGTTATACTGACTGAGCCAGCCAGGCACCGCAAGAACTTTATATTTTAAGCTCTTACATTTAGGTCTTTGACTGATTTTGAGTTAATTTTTTAAAAAATAAAATAAAAAATTTTAAGTAATCTCTACACCCAATGTGGGGTTCAAACTCACAACTGAAGATCAAGAGTCACATGCTTGGGGGATGCCTGGGTGGCTCAGATGGTTAAGTGTCTGCCTTCAGCTCAGGTCATGATCCCGGGGTCCTGGGATCAAGTCTTGCGTGAGGCTCCTTGCTCAGTGGGGAGCCTGCTTCTCCTTCTGCCTGCATCTCCCCCTGCTTGTGCCCTCTCTCTATCTGACAAATAAATAAATAAATAAAATCTTAAAAAAAGAAAGCAGAACAGCCTTCTTGCTGATATGGGGAAAGTTATAGTGGTCTGGGTAGAAGATTAAACCAGTCACAACATTCCCTTAAGTCAAAGCCTAATCCAGAGCAAGGCCCTAACTCTCTTCAATTCTATGAAGGCTGAGAGAGGTGAGGAAGCTCTAGAAGAAAACTCTGAAGCTAGCAGAGGTGGGTTCATGAGATTTAAGGAAAGAAGCCATCTCCTAAAATAAAAGCACAAGGTGAAGCAGCAGGTGCTGGTGTGGAAACTGCAGCAAGTTATCCAGAAGATCCAGCTAAGATAATTGATGCAGGTGGCTACACTAAACAACAGATTTTCAGTGTAGAAGAAACAGCCTTATATTGGAGGAAGATGCTATCTAGGACTTTCATAGTTAAAGAGGAAAAGTCAGTGCCTGACTTCAAAGCTTCAAAGGACAGGCTGACTCTCTTATTAGGGTTTAATGCAGCTGGTTACTTTAAGTTGAATGGCAATGTTTATTTATCATTTTGAAAATCTTAGGGCCCTTAAGAATTATACTAAATTGGGGCACCTGGCTAGCTCAGTCAGTAGAGCACGCAACTCTTGATTTTGGGGTCGTGAGTTCCAGCCCCATGTTGGAGGTAGAGTTTACTTAAAAAAAATAAAATAAAATAAAGAATTATGATAAATCTACTTTGCTTGTGCTCTATAAATGGAACAACAAAGCCTGGATGATAGCACATCTGTTTGCAACATGGTTCACTGAATATTTTAAGCCCATTCTTATCGCTCAGAAAAGACTATTTTCAAATATTACTGCTCATTAACAATGCACCTTATCATCCAAGAGCTCTGATGGAGATGTACAATGAGATTCATGTTGTTTTCATGCCTGCTAACAGAACATCCATTCTGCAGCCCACGGATCAAGGAGTAATTCTGACTTTTAAGTCTTATTATTTAAGAAATATATTTTGGGGGGCGCCTGGGTGGCTCAGATGGTTACGTGTCTGCCTTCGGCTCAGGTCATGATCCCAGGGTCCTGGGATTGAGCCCCGCATCGGACACCCTGTTTGGCGGGGAGCCTGCTTCTCCCTCTCCCTCTACTGTTCCCCCTGCTTGTGCTCTCTCGCTCTCTCTGTCAAATAAATAAATAAAATCTTAAAAAAAAAAAAAGAAATATATGTTGGAAGGCTATAGCTGCCACAGACAGTGATTCCTCTGATGGATCTGGGCAAAGTAAATTGAAAACTTTTGGAAAGGACTCATCATTTTAGATGCCATTAAGAACATTTGTGATTCATGGGAAGAGGTCAAAATATCAACATTGAGGGGCGCCTGGCTGGCTCAATCGGTAGAGTATGTGACTCTTGATCAGGGTTGTTAGTTCAAGACCCACGTTGGCTGTGGAGCCTACTTTAAAAAAATCAGCAGTGACAGGAGTTTGGAAGAAGTTGATTCCAACCCTCATGGATGACTTGGAGGGATTCCAGACTTTAGTGAAGAAAGTAACTGCAGATGTGATGGAAATAGCAAGAGAACTAGATTTAGAAGTAGAGCCTGAAGATGGGACTGAATTGCTACAATCTCATGATACAACTTTAACAGATGAGGAGTTGCTTCTCATGGATGAGCAAAGGAAGTGGTTTCTTGAGATGGAATCTACTCCTGGTGAAGATGCTGTGAAGATTGTTGCAATAACAACAAAGGACTTAAAATTTTACATAAACTTAGTTGATAAAACAGCAGCAGGGTTTGAGAGGATTGACCCCAGTTTTAAAATAAGTTCTACTGTTGGTAAAATGTTACCAAACTGCATCACATGCTACAGAAAAATTGTGAAAGGAAGAGTACATCAATGAGGCAGACTTCATCGTCTTATTTTTTTTTTTTTAAGATTTTATTTATTTATTTGACAGAGAGAGACACAGCGAGAGAGGGAACACAAGCAGGGGGACTGGGAGAGGGAGAAGCAGGTTTCCCGCTAAGCAGGAGCCCGATGTGGGGCTCGATCCCAGGACCCTGGGATCCTGACCTGAGCTGAAGGCAGACGCTTAACGACTGAGCCACCCAGGCACCCCCGTCGTCTTATTTTAAGGAATTGCCACAGCCACCCCAACCTTCAGCAGCCACCACCCTGATCAGTCAGCAGCCATTAATATCAAGGCAAGACCTTCCTCCAGCAAAAAGATTATGGTTCACTGAAAGCTCAGATGATGTTTAGCATTTTTTAGCAATAAAATATTTTTTAATTAGGCCCCACACCCAATATGGGGCTCAAGCTCTCGACCCTGTGATCAAGAGTTGCGTGCTTTATCCACTGAGCTAGCCATGCACCCCAGCAATAAAATATTTTATTTTTATTTTTTGTAAATATTTTTAAAAGCTTTTATTTACTTATTTGAGAGAGAGAGTGAGAGAGAGAGAGATCATGAGCAGAGGGGAGGGGTAGAGGGAGAAGCAGACTCCCCACTGAACAGGGAGCCCAATGTGGGACTCGATCCCAGGACCCTGAGATCATCATCTGAGCAGAAGGCAGACACTTAACTGACTGAGCCACCCAGGCACCCTGATTTTTTGTAAATATTTTTAATTAAAGTATATATGTTGTTTTTTTAAGACATAATTCTCTTTCACACTCAATAGATGATAGTATAGTATAACTTTTATATGAACTGGGAAAATAAACTCATTTGACTCACTTTATGGTGACATTTGCTTTATTGCAGTGGTCTGGAACCCAACCCACGGTATCTCCAAGATATGCCTGCACTAAGTTTTGAAATTGGTAAGGGTGAGTCTTCTAACTTTGTTCTTTTTCAAGATTGTTTTGACTGTTCTGGGTCCCTTGAATTTCCATATAAATTTTATTTTACTTTTTTAAGATTTTATTTATTTACTTGGCAGAGAGAGAGTGAGCACAAGTGGGGGGAGCAGCAGGCAGAGGGAGAAGCAGGCTCCCTGCTGAGCGGGGAGCCCGATGTGGGGCTCGATCCCAGGATCCCGGGATCATGACCTGAGCTGAAGGCAGATGCTTAATGACTGAGCCACCCAGGCACCCCTCCATATGAATTTTAGAATCAGCTTGTCAATTTCCGGAAAGAAGACAGCTGGAATTTTGACGGGTATTGCCTTATATCCACAGATCAATTTGAAGTGTATTGCCAACCTAACAATGCCATGTCTTCTGATTCATAAACAGGATAGCTTTCCATTTTTTAAGATCTTTAATTTCTTTCAATGATATTTTATAGTTTTCAGAGTATAAGTTTTGTACTTCTTTTGATAAACCTATTCCTAAATATTTTTTGATGCTATTATAAATTGAATTTTTAAACTTCATTTTCGGTTTATTCTGTATAGAAATACAATTGATTTTTGTATATTGATTGTACCCTGAAACCTGGCTTATTAGTTATTAGAACTCACTTATTAGTTCTGTTGGGTTTTAGCGAGTTTCTTGGGATTCTATATGCAAAATCATGTCATCTGTAAATAGAGATCATTTCCTTCTTCCTTTCCAATATGGATGCATCTTATTTGTTTCTCTTGCCTAATCATTCTAACTCGAACTTTCAGTGTTGAATAGAAATGGTGAGAGTAGACATCCTTGTCTTGTTTCTAATTATAGGGGGAAAGCATTCAGTTTTTCACCATTAAGTATGATGTTAATTGTGGATAGTTCTTGAGGACTGCCTCTCCTCCTATGCTAAATCTCTGAGCTTCTCCTCTGGAGATCTGGACAGGGACAGTAGCCTCTTGGAGTGACACCCCAGTTTTATGACCAGGGCACTGGAAAGGGCTAGTAGCCTCTCGTCTTCTTGGCTTGCCAGTGTGAAACCTCTGCCCTACAAACTAGCTGGGCAAGGGCCTTCAGGGCTCCAGTATCTTGTCCTGGGTAGAGCCTCCACTCTATGATTGGGGGCTGGGCAGAGGAAGGGAGCCCTCCATCTCTCGGCCTCAATCGCCAGGAATTTAGCCTCTGCCACTGGAGCTAGGAATGGTTGAGAAATGCTGGAGGCCTGCCCCTCCTGGGGAAATACCATAATCCTTGACTGGGACCTGAGAGGAGAGGACGTCCTGTTTTTATGGCCACATCTGTCCAGAGTGCAGCTTCAGTCATGCTGAACTAGGGTTAGGGAGGAGGTTGGAGGTCTTGTTCAAATGTCAGACTCTTACTCTTCTTACTGAGATTTAGATTTTCTTGAATCAACGTGTTTTTCATTTGCTCTATGCCCTTAGGACAATTTCCAGAGAGTTTAAATGGTTGTGTGTGTGTTTAAAAAATAATTTTTACCAGTTATCGGTGTTCATTTGGGAGTGGATGTGCAGAATTTCTCACATTGCCATTTGGAAGTGGAATCTCCTTCATTTTAAAAATAACTACAGGGCTCCTGGGTGGCTCAGATGGTTGGGCATCTGCCTTTGGCTCAGGTCATGATCCCAGGGTCCTGGGATTGTGTCCCGCATCAGGCTCCCTGCTCCTTGGGAGCCTGCTTCTCCCTCTGCCTCTCTCTCTCTCTGTCTCTCATGAATAAATAAATAAAATCTTTAAAAAATAAAAATAACTACAGCTGGGGCGCCTGGGTGGCTCAGTCGTTGGGTGTCTGCCTTCAGCTCGGGTCATGGTCCCAGGGTCCTGGGATCGAGCCCCGCATGGGACTCCCTGCTCTGCGGGAAGCCTGCTTCTCTCTCTCCCACTCCCCCTGCTTGTGTTCCCTCTCTCGCTGTCTCTCTCTCTGTCAAAAAATAAATAAAATCTTTAAAAATAAATTAAAAAAATAAAATAAAAATAACTACAGCTAAAAAAATATTAATTAAAAAAATAAAAATAAAAATAACTACAGCTGACCCTTGAACAACATGGGTTTGAACTGCATGGGTCCACTTATATGTGGATTTTGGGGGATAAATACAGTACAGTACTGTAAATGTATTTTCTCTTTCTTATGATTTTCTCTTTTATTTTTTTTTTAATTTAAGTAATCTCTACACCCGACGTGGGACTTGAACTCACGACCCCAAGATCAAGAGTCACATGCTCCTCTGACTGAGCCAGCCAGGAGCCCCCTTATGATTTTCTCAACATTTTCTTTTCTCTAGCTTACTTTATTGTAAAAATACAGTATATAATACATATAGCATGTGTTAATTGACTGTTTATATTATCCATAAGGCTTTCAGTCAACAGTAGACTATTAGTAGTTAAGTTTTTGGGGAGTCAAAAGTTATATGCAGATTTTTTTTAAGTAACCTTTACACACAACATGGGGCTCGAACTCATGACCCAGAGATCAAGAGTCACATGCTCTCCTGACTGAGCCAGCCAGGTGCCCCTATATGAAGATTTTTGACTGTGCAGGGGTTGGTACCCCTTCTTCCCACATTGTTCAGGGTCAACTATACATTGTACTCCATTGAAAGGACCATACTTTATTTAATTCGTTCCATACTGATTAATATTTAGGTTATTTAAAATACTTTATCATTGAGGTGACTGGCTAGCTCAGTCAGAAAAGCATGCTACTCTTGATCTTGGGGTCGTGAGTTCGAGCCCCATGTTAGGTGTAGAGATTACTTAAATAAATAAACTTTAATATAATTTGCCATTAAAAATGACACTGTAATTAATAACCCCTTGTGTATGCTAGTATATCTGTAATACAGAAATTAAATTTTTGGATCAAATAGTATTAATATAAATAGCTTTAATAAATGTTGCCACATTGCCCTCTGTGAGGGCTTCTGCCAGGAATATCCAGGGAGTATTTACTTTATACTCTGGCCATAATAGGGTGTTATCAAATTTTTGATCTCTGCTAGCCTTATCATGTGACAAATTGTTTTATTTATTTTTATTTTTTTAGAGAGAGAGAGAGAGTGAACATGAGTGGTGGGGAGGGGTAGAGGGAGAGGGAAAGGAGAGAGAGGATCTCAAGCAGACTCCCCACTGCACACAGAGCCCGACATGGGGCTCAATGTGGGGCTCGACACAGGGCTCAATCCCACAACCATGAGATCATGACTGAAATCAAGAGTCAGATACTTAACTGATTAAGCCATCCAGGCGCCCCTAAAGATTTTATTTAATTTTTTTAAGTAATCTCCACACCCAATGTGGGGCTCAAACTTACAACTCCGAGATCAAGAGTTGTATGCTGTACTAACTGAGCCAGCCAGGTGCCCCGACAAATGATTTTGAATATAGTTTTAACATTTTTTCTGCTATGAGTGAAGTTAAGAATCTTTTCATATACTTCTGAGCCATACATTTCCTTTTCCGTGCTCTATTTATATCTTTTGTTTTATTTTATTTTATCTTTTAAATATTTTATTTATTTATTTGATAGAGAGAGTGAGAGAGCACAAGCAGGGGGAACAGTAGAGGGAGAGGGAGAAGCAGGCTCCCCGCCAAGCAGGGAGCCCAATGCGGGGCCCGATCCCAGGACCTTGGGATCACGACCCAAGCCGAAGGCAGACGCTTAATGACTGAGCCACCCAGGTGCCCCCTTTTGTTTATTTTAAAGTTGGGATGATGGTCTTTTTCTTATTGATTTGTAGGAATTTTTTATATATTAGGAAAATTAGCCATTTGCTATATAAATTGCAAATTGTTTCCCTTAGTATGTCCTGTGTTTTGTTTTTGTCCTGTGTTTTTTTATTTGGGGTTTTGTCATTTAGAATTTCTTTTATTTTTATATAGTCAAATTTATCAATCTTTTCTATATGATTTCTAGGTTCAAGTCATACTAAGAAGGGCATCTCCCTTCCCTGCTCTGAGATAAGAAAAAAAATTTTCCCATGATTCCTCCTAGTACTGTTATGGTTAGGTATGGTTTCATTTTTATATTAAAATTGTTTTCATCCATTTGTAATGTATTTTGGTGTAGGGTGTATGTATGTATCCAACTTATTTATAGCTACCTATTTGTCCTCAAGTATGGGGATGAAGTTCCTTGCCCATTGTAGGTCATCTGTAAATGTTGTTTGAACAATATGGATACTTTACTTTTCCTATCATATTTAGTACCTGCTTTACTGTGGTGGACATACCCTAAAGTGACCCACAATTTGTCACGCCCTGTATAATCCCTTCCTCTTGAGTGGGTAGAACCTGGGACTTGCTTCTAATCCATAGAATATGGCAAAGGTGATGGTCTATCACTCTCATGATTAAGTTATGTTAGACTCCATCCAAACGAGAGCAACAGAAACTCTCCTGTTAGCCTTGAAGAAGCAAACTGCTATGCAATAAACTGCCTATGGAGAGGGCATTGTGAAGGGAACTGCTGGTGGCTTCTAGGAGCTGAGGGTCTCAGTCCTAACAGCTACAAGAAACTGAATTCTGCCAACAACTATGTGAGCCTGGAAGAGCATCCCAAATTCCAGATAGAGACCCCAGCTATGGCCTATGCAGATGGTCCCCGATTTATGATGGTTTGACCTATGATTTTTTTGACGTTATGATGATGCAAAAGCGATAGACATTATGTAGAAACCATATTTTGAATTTTGATCTTTTCCTGGCCTACTGATAGGCGGTGCAATATTCTCTCATGATGCTGGGCAGGGGCAGCAAGCCACAGATCCCAGTCAGCTGTGCAATCACAAGAGTAAACAACCAATATACTTACAACTATTCTGTACCCATACAACCATTCTGTTTTTCACTTTTAGTACGCTGTTCAATAAGTTACATGAGGCAGTCGACACCTTGTTGTAATATAGGCTTTGTGTTAGATGATTTTGCCTAACTATAAGCTAATGTAAATGTTCTGAGCTTGTTTAAGGTAG